CCCCCTACTACAGCTCGCGCGCGGATGTCGGGATCGGAGCCGCCGTCCTTCGCCTGACCAACGGCGGCGAGGGCGCATACGTTCTCGTGGAGCTCACCATGATACAGGACTCCGATCCCCCTGAAGCCGCGCTCCTGATCTGGGAGTCCTGCGCCGCAGAATGGGTCGTCAAGACTGGTATCTTCCCCCGTCAGATGTGCTCTCCCGACCATGTCTTCACGGTTGACATGTGCTTCTCGTATGGAGATCACAGCATCTGCTGGGTTGATTTGTTCAAAGGCATTGTGATCTGCAATTTGATCCCTGTGCTACAGCTACAGGATCGACCCGACGCGGACATCAAGTTCCAGTTCATCCCGTTGCCCCCTGGGTGCCCAACCTACGTCCGCGGCCAAAGGTACCATCGGCCACCGGAGGCTGAGGACTTCCGTTCGGTGGCCTGTGTCGGTGGCTTGATCAAATTCGTCACCATGGATGACTATGGCGAGAAGGACTGCCATGATATATCGTTGACCTCCTGGACTCTGCTATCGGACCTGACAACTTGGAGGAGAGACAAGGTGTACCCTGTGAGAGACATCTGGGCAGGCCAGCCAGACCCACCGATTGAAGGGTTTGCCGAAAATCCTGCCGTCACACCCGGTCCTGAGCATGCACGAAGACGATGTGGTCTACCTGGTCTTCACTGATTTCCGGCAAGGGGCAGAGCGATTGGAGTACCATGGCCAGTATTTGCTTCGTGTTGACATGCTGCGTGAGACGGTCACGCACCATCCAATTCCAGGCACAACCCTTCGCAAGTGATTGCACTGCCTACTGTTGTTAATTAGAGGACCACATGCATAGTACTAGAGTTAATTGCACAGAAGTACCACAATTCGGACATCACATGCAGATTGATATCATGATTGCTATTTTTTGCGTGTCAGTACCAACATTGGTCCAAATTTTTGCAAAAAAAGCTAAAAGGCTGATTTATACGTATTGACAGTGTATCTGACCATTGGGGCCCGTCTGTCAGGTGCCGACGCATATTTTTTGCAGAAAACTCTTGGCTTTATATGTAATCACATAAATAGCCATTTTTCCGCAGGAAACCGTCATTGAGAGGGATTTTTTTTCATTCGCAAGTTTTCCACGGACTTGTTCGAAAGTTTCTGGCGAATTGAACAAATAAATAACCGAAACGAAAAATAGCGGAGGAAGGAGATTCGAACCCGCGACCTGAAAGTCTGCGGCTGCGCATGATGTTGACATGATGCAGGCGAAAGATTTATTATACTCGTATACACACGCAATATTTTCCGAAAATCCATCATGTCTAAGAAAATGTTCACCATAAATTACAAGAAATTCACCTTGCATTATGTCAAATATTCATCATATCTTTAGAAAATTGTTCAACATATTTAAAAAAATGTTCGGCATAAATAAATAAAATAAAGGAAAAACAGCATGTCAACAGGTTTCGAACATGTCTAAGAAAGTTCACCATAAATTACAAGAAATTCACCTTGCATTATGTCAAATATTCATCATATCTTTAGAAAATTGTTCAACCTATTTAAAAAAAATGTTCAACATAAATAAATAAAACAAAGGAAAAATAGCACGTCAACAGGTTTCGAACCTGCGACTAGGGCCGGACCAAAAGCTCATAGCTCGCGAGCTTAACGAGCGCTCGATAGTTCGGCTCGTTAAGCTCGTAGCTCGCTTCTTAATGAACAGAGCCAATCATTGATTTTAGCTCGTTAAGCTTAACGAGCTTAACAAGCGAGCTAATGAGTTTCACGAGTAGCTCGTTAAGCTCGTTATAACAACACAACACATATTTTCATATTACGTGACAAACTTTTTGTAGCACCTCAGCCCATCTATTTATTTAATTTAATCGACATATGAGGCAACAAACTACTTTATTTATTTTTGTAGTCACCATATTTTATCTTGAAAACCATACCTACACATTCATCATGTATATCGTAACACATTATAATCTGTTAACGAGCGCTCACGAGCTTCAAACGAGCCGAGCCGAGCAGGGTTTTCTGCTCGTTAATCTTAACGAGCTTAACAAGCCGAGCCTTAACGAGCACGAGCTTAACGAGTACGAGCTTAACGAGCCGAGCTGCTCGTTAGTCCAGCCCTACCTGCGACCAGCAACACGCAAGCGGAGCGCCCTAGCCACCAGGCCACAGGTAGGCTCGCGTTAAAATGCGGGCAGTACCTCTTTATACAAACAAGAAGACACTGGACCGATGGTTGGGCCAACCGAGGCCTGTAATAATTTTTTTGTTTTGGGTTTTGCTGGGGCTCGTTCGTTGCCCAGGTTTCTTTTCGTTTCTTCATCTTTTTTCATTCAATGAAATTAATCATTTTTGTAATATATGTTGAATAATTTTCTTAATATATGTTACAAAAATTGTTCAACATATATTAAGGTTTTTTTTAACTTATATTGATCGTTTTTGTAATAAATATTCACCGCGCATTATGTAAAAAAAAAATAGATGCAAAATGATCATAACATTTTTTAAGTTTATAGTGAACTTTTTATTCTGCGATATTTTTTGTAAATACACACTGAACATTGAACTTTTTTTATATACAATGATTTTATATAAATATACGATGAACTTTTTTTATATTATAAAACCATTTGTCACCTATATATTGAACCTTTTTAAAACGATGAAAGTTTCATTCTCGGGTTCATATTTCTATTTGTCAAAAAATAACTCATGTAGTAATCTGCATGTTTACCAAACTAATATTTTTCTCAAAGATAATTCTATTAATACAGCCTGTGTAAAAATACGAAAAAATGATCATTTTGCATCTATTATAAAATGATCATTTTGCATCTAATAAATTTTTTGTAAAATATTGCAGGCTTTGTTTGGCCCAGCTGCCGGCCCAGCGTGTATGTGCTAGTATAATAAACATTTCACCTGCATCACGTCAATAGCGGCGTTGTGACGTACTGGCTAGCGCGCGCAGCCGCAGATCTGCAGGTCGCAGGTTCGAATCTCCGTCGTGTGCGATTTTTCATATAAAGCCAAGGGGTTTTCTGCAAAAAATATGCCACATCGGCACCTGACGGACGGGCCTCAACAGTCAGATACACTGTCAATACGTATAAATCAACTTTTTTGCAAAAATTTAGACCAATATTGGTACTAACACGCAAAAATTAATAATCGTGGTACCAATCTGCATGTGATGTCTGAATTGTGGTACTTCTGTGCAATTAACTCATAGTACTACTGTTATGAGTTGGAGTATATCATTAATATGATATTGATGCCAAATGACCCAACACATTGCAGTATTAGAACTTATTAATTTCGTCCATGGCATGAAGAATTTTGTTTGTCGCAGGGCATCTCTGTTTACATCTAAGGGAAAAGTTGCTATAGGCAGTTCATTATAAGCTTGTACTGGATTACGCCCATTGCGCAAGAGACGAAAAGAAATGTTACTGCAAACATGTAAGTTACCCCAATAAAAGGAGCCTGGTGCCAGATGGTTTCATAAACAAGTTATATCGAGCAAATGCCTCACTTATGAGAAAAACAGAGTTGTTTGAGAACAAAATTGATATCTTGGGAATTAATCTATAGCACACATATCCCTAGTTCCCTACTCCCCAAGGTTGAGACTCCGCTGGAAATCACGCATTACCGCCCGATTGCGTTGGTCCATAGCCTCATCAAGCTTCTCACAGAGGTTCTGGCTAGTAGGTTGCAGCATCTCATATCAACGCGTTCATTTCACGCAATCAGGCGTTATCAGAGGATGATGTGCTACAGTGAAAAACTTTGCTTTAGCTTCGAAGCTCGTGCGATGTGCTCAGAAGCGTAAAATGCCTTTGGTCATGCTGAAGATGGATTTCCAAGAAGCTTTTGACTCCTTCAGCTGGAGCTGCATTCTGCAATTACTACGACAAAGGTTTTGGAGTCAACGGCATTTGGGAGATCTTCAAAACTGGACAAACTCGGGTAATGGTAAACGGGTGCTTGGAAATAAAAACTCTGTTTCTCATCAATATAATCCAAGGTTAGGCCGACTCAGCAAGCCTTTTCCGGAACAGGTCGTCTTCTTTTTGAGATCATTCAGTGCTAATTGTTCAGTCTGGCATCTCAGTTGAGCGGAGAAAAGAGCTCCATTTTGTGTGGATACATGCAATCGAGACATAACCGTATAACTAGCTAGTTTCATATATCACCATTCAAATCCAAACATGTAAGCAAGTTACAGATGTTTTATCCGGGGAAAGCTGAACCAAGAAGAGGCATACTTATCTTGCTCCCGGAGAGCACATCCTCAACTCGTTTGTAAATGAACAAAGGAAAAATAAACGTAAAACTATGGAAACAGAAAACAGCAGGAAAAGAGGACTAGCAGTACTCCAACATATGACCAAAGCACCAACGCTCTTTCTTCAATCATAGCAGCATTAATCTATCAAAAACAAAACTCTGCTAATTAAGGGCCATGATACACATGTTGTAATCCTAACAAAACACGTTGACACACACAGCATCTGTTAACCTCCTGAAACCTTGTTATCCCAAATTGCGTAATGGACAACAGAGATCAAACTGACAGGCTATGGAAGTGCTACAGAATAACATTTCAAACACTAAAAATGCCTCCACTCAAAGAGCACGGCACTCGTCTTAACAATGTCTCATCTTGCAGCAAAAGAAAGACTGAATTTCTAGTCTTAACAATGTCACTCGTGCATCTTAACCGCGGCGAAACTAAAGCAAATTTGGGAGGCAGGGAGGAACAGTAATATAAAGTTCTAATATCATAGATCGATATTTGATACTTCAGAACATTAACAGGATATTCAGCACATCATCGTACGAACCAAATGATGACGTCATAGGTGCTACTGCAACCATCCAAAATGGCATGTTCTACTGCTGGTCTGCTAGTACATGATCTGAATCTAAGCAAAGCAAACCATGAGTCATGATCACTCAGACATGCTATGTGAAGAATGGAGCCTCCTCATCTGTTTGCATCTCATGGCCTGGAATTGGAACAACGCTCTCTTTGAGGCAGTGGTGGGTAAGACACATGCGATACTGACGCTTTCCAATGTTCACAATACCTAAGAACTTGCCATCAATATCACAGCGCAACACATGTTTGTGGTTAAACCTGATCAGCAGCTCACGCTCATTTAGCACAGACATATCATTAAACAATTGCACCGCAGATTCGAGTGGTCTACTCTTTTTCTTTCTGAAAGAAGTTAAATAAAGTTGTCTTGATGCCTCCACCGTTGACACGTCAATCCGGTACTTAAAAGCCCAGATTTCAGCCTTGTAATCCTGCATCACCCAGACATCCATAGAAGTGGACTTGGAAACCGAGCCGCCACACCAAGCTAGCGTCCCCTCCATGTCAAACAACTTCCTATAACGGCAGGGCTGGGTGGGACTGCACATCCACCTGAATGACTCTGTTTCTGTGTCGAACACAATAATATCTCCACCGCCTACTGTAATGTGGCTGTCATCATAAGGAAGCCAGTGCAGCCTGCCACGGTGGTGTACGGGTGATGAACAGTCAGATGAAGAGGGCAGCTGGTTCAATAACTTCTGTTGTGTGGAAGACGATGAGACTGTTGGCATTCTGACACTGATGAACTTTGGCCTGTCAGATCCCACTGTGAGCACATATAAGCTGGATTCAGAGGAGTATTGTGATTGTGACCGTGAGACCCAGAGAACCCTGTATTCTCCAGTTGGATGGTGCTGGTAGAAACCGACAATGGTACTGTGGATGCCTTGCCCAACTTGAGGCTGTGGTAGGAGAGCATGCTTGCGGGTAACTGGATTGCAGATGTAGAATTTGTGTCCCCAATAAATTATAAGGAAGCCATCACAGACGGCTCTGGGCTGATTCCAGTAACGGCGTTTGGAGCTTGAGAGGAAAGGCCAAAGCTGTTGATTGGAGGCACCAGCACCGGCGTCGCCGAAGACGACATAATTGGCAGGCTTTCCACAACCATCCACAATGGGGAGCGACAGCTGGCGTCGGTGGTGTTCGAGCATGAATTCAGGTGTGGATGTGGCACTGCGCCATGAAGTGTTCACAACCCGACAGCGGCCGACGTCCTTGGACCCCAACAGGACGAGTATCTTGTTGATGATCTCCTCGGGCAGGTCCTCGAGCAGGGTCGCGCCTCTCCTGTCCGGCATCGTGCTCCGTCGAGTCCAGTGAACTGAAAAGACGCGGCAAATAACTTCTTCAGAGTTCAGACCAGCTTCTAATCTTTTTTTTTTAAAAGCAAGTAAAATACAGGAAGGAGGTGAGGTGAGACGTGTTTACCCTCGGAGACTGGACGCGCCAGAGAAGGAGGGTCCGGCGGCGGCGAGCAACGGCGAGCAACGGCGGCAACGCGGGCGTGTTCCTTCGATTCTAGGCACGAATACACGAAAGATCTGAGCGCCAACGGTAGATGCAGAGAAAAACAAAGAGAGCGCGCCGGGGAAGAGAGATGCTCACCTGCGTGCTCCCGTGGGATTACGGCGTGAAGCGGAAGAGCGGCTTGGTTGAGTGAGGCGACTCAAACCCTAGGAGAGGAGCTCGATCTGGAGGCCATTGCGCGAGGTGCGGACTGCGGGGAGGAGGCAAGCGAGATCGATCTGGACTGGAGTCCACGACGCCGGCCGGCCGGCCGCGAGCTCGATTCAGAGGTAAAATTAGGTCTTGCAGCGCCTGGTCTGCTCGAATGGGGATGGGGAATTTCTCACCTCGAGGATAGAGGAAGAGATTGACTCGGCAGAGTCCTTCCTTTTCCTTTTTGTCTTTTACAACAAATGCCATTGGCCCAAAGGCCCGGTTTATTCAAAATGCCATGCTATTTTACAAGAATGCCATGTTATAATTTAATAAAATGCCACGAAAATATTGTTTTGCTTTACTTGGTCCATTCTGCAAAAATCTAAAAAAAGATGCCATCTCTTAACATTTATAATACTGCCATGATAATTTATTAAAGAAAGTTTAAAATTGCAACGTGACATAATTTCCAAATTTTGTAAAATTGCCATGCTAATTTTGGGAAGAAATATGCCATCATGGTTCAAAAAGAAGATAAAAGGGGGCGCGGTCTTGGGATTCGAACTAGGGGCCTCCATGTGCAAGACCACGCCGCTGGCAAGTGGATGGCGGGTATCATTTGGAAAGAAAGACCATTCATTGGGTTTTATCCTCATTGTACCAGTTTCAAATCTGACGTGGCACCGAACCTGTACTGATTCGTGCAACGATGGGGAGGGGGTTGTTGCGAAATCCCTCACGGCTGACGGTCGCCAATTATGATTTCTGAATAAAAATTTTAGAAGGTGTAGTCAATTCTTAGGCAATATAATGGAGCTCCATTTACTACTCCAATTTGAAGATTACCCACATGTCACTTTTCTCTTGCAAAAAAGAAATTACTTCTAACGTTTCACATGATGACATCACAATAATATACGGTTACAATCAAGAGCCTCGATACATGATGAAGCTCAATGAAGCCAAACAACACTACAAGCCTCTATCCAACTATAGAATATCAACTGATGTGCTACCCTATTATAACCGTGTTTAAGTTTTTGGGAATAAACACCCTCTCTTCTTAGAGAGTCTTAGTCCTAGCCGCCAAATGAGACCGTACGAGGCACACAACGAATACGAAGCTCGCTTGGATAAATGACAAGAGACCTTGCATTTATTTGTTATTAATGTGCCCGACACCGCCTTTCACGTCATCCTCATCATGAGAGCCACGTCCGAAGATATCAATGTGATATAAAAAAAACTTCCCCAATAATGGACACCATCCAGTCATGCGCTAGCTCTCGTCCATTGCTAATGCTTTAGAGCATCTCCAATAGATGGTCCAAATGTAAAAATAACTAACTTTTGGACCGTCTGGAGCAAAAATCAGTGCTCCAACAGACGGTCCATATGCAAAAAAAAAGGGTCGCGGCCTCCTCGTGATGTAAAATCCGACACCTCGCGGTGCAAATTTACATCAGGAGGTGCATCTGGTCCAAAACCAGCCGCCGTCCGCGAACGCCCAACCGCCACTTCCTTTCCGTTCCCGCCCGCGCTCGCCCGAAGACCAGCCGGCCGGAATCCGCCGCCACGACCGCCGAAAACCACGTCGTTGGCGCCGCCACCACCCCAAATCCCCGCCGCCTCCCTCACCGGTAGCGGGCTCGCAGCCGCCCGGAGGCCGCCAAATTGGGAGGCAGCCGGTGCGGGATTTGGCACCTCCAGCGGTCCGGCTGCCGCGGTAGGCCTCCGCCTGGTTTACGGCTGCCGCCGACCTCATCCCCGTCGGTCGTGAGCCTGTTCACGGCCGTTGCACCGGCCGGACGACCGCCGCACGATGCCCTCCGCCCGGCTGTCGAAGTACTGTTCGCCGCCCGAACGCCATCGTCGGACGAGGAATTTGATTTGCATGAAGAAGAGGAGGTTGCTATGCTAGTGGCCATGCACAAGAGGAAGAAACCGAAGCACGGTGGTTCCGTTTATGGTCGTGCGTTCATTCGGAGAGAACGGATTGATGCGCACAAACGGTTGGTGCGCAACTACTTTGCATCACTACGTGTTTTTCTGGAGAATTACTTTCGACGCCGTTTCAGAATGTCGAAAGAGTTGTTCTTCCGCATTTGCAATTCCGTGAAGCAGCATAATCCAGTCTTCGAGCAAAGAAGGAACTGTGCCGGCTTGCTTGGCCATAGCATTGAGCAGAAGGTCACTGCCGCTTTGCGCATGATGGCATATGGTGCTCCGCCAGATACATTGATGACAACTTGGCGATGGCAGAGAGCACTTCTATCTTCTATGTCAAGCAATTCGCAATAGCTATGGTAGAAGTGTTCGGTCCACAGTACTTGAGAGCACCCAATGCTTAGGACACTCAAAGGCTTTTGGAGATGAACAAAGCTCGAGGGTTTCCAGGTATGCTGGGGTCTATGGATTGCATGCATTGGAAATGGAAGAACTGTCCAAAAGTATGGCATGGACAATTCAAGGGTCGTGGGAAGGATGCCACTATCATTCTTGAGGCAGTTGCTGATCATGAAACATGGATTTGACATGCATATTTTGGTATGCCCGGTTCTTCCAACGACATCAACGTGCTCGACCGGTCACCTCTCTTTGCCAACTTAGCAAATGGAGAAGCACCACCGGTGACCTTCGAAGCAAATGGCCGCACCTACAACTATGGGTACTATCTTGCAGATGGGATCTACCCGAGGTGGAGTACATGTCGTCAAGCCGGTTGCAAAACCTGAAGGTAAAAAAGAACTTGTCTTTCATAATGCACAAGTGGCGGCTAGAAAAGATGTTGAGAGGGCATTTGGCATTTTACAATCCCAAATTGCTATTGTGCGAGGACCATCTAGATTTTGGGATCAAAAGATCCTTTGGTACATCATGACCGCTTGCGTAATCATGCATAACATGATCATTGAGAACGAGCGTGGAAAACATTTAGATTGCAACTTCTATCATTTGATGGGCATTCCTGTTGACCCCATGCGAAAAAAACAACGCATCAAACGTTTCATGAAGGTGTACAGCGAGATTAGAGACACCGATGTGCATGACCAACTCCAGAAAGATTTGATGGAAGAGCATTGGAAATGGCATGGCGAAAGATCCGCATAGATGCATTATTTGTTTGTTCAAAACTATGTTGTATTATGCAAAAACTATGTTGTATTTGTGTTGCATTTCATCTCCTGGATCTGAAGAACTATGTAATAATTTGATATTGTGGACATGAATTTTTTTTATGTTGTTTCAAAACATGTTTTTATGCAATATGTGCGGCTGTACAGTGGCTGGGCAGCGGCTAAACAGTAGACGTGCGGCTGTGGCCGGGTTTGGACCAAGATTTTGGACCATCTATTGAAGTTGGTCTTTTGGACCAGGAGAATTTGAACCATCTGTTGGAGTTGGTCTTTTTTCGGAGCTCCAAAACGCACTTTTTGGCGGTCCAAATTTACATCTTTTGTTTTGGACCATCAAATTTTGAACCATCTATTGGAGATGCTCTTAGCTTGGGGCGTATAGTTTTCTTCTCAAGCTTCGATGCTCTCAACCATAGCCATCACAAGTTGAATCCAAGACCCCTACCTCTCAACCTCATATTGGTCGGTAGTGGCTTCGCGTCGTCACCATCTCTGCTCCATCTTTCCAGTAGCAGAAGACGAGGCGAGAATGGTATGATAAAGAATAATAAAATGGCAGATATTTCTAAAAAAATAGTTGACTTGTTCAAACGTATAAAAATCACTTTGGATCAACCATACATACCCTCATCTATTCCAAAGCAACCAATGATATAGAGTCCCCAAAATGAAAAGAAAACTGCAACTAGGTCCATCCAGACTCGACCAATCGCTAACTCTGTTGTGAGCTGGCCTGGACCATATGAGTACACTAGAATAAACTAGTCATAGAGCATATTTATCCTTCAGGGCTGGATGCAATTTATAAATTATGCATTTTTTGTAGCTATGGGAGCCGCTTCCCATCGACAATTTGACTAGAATGCACAAGCAAGTGACGAGTAGACTGCTCATGGTCACTTATCCTCCATTATTATTATTATGTTGTCTATTGTGTGGGTTTGTGTTGTTGTGGTGCCCCCAACGCATATTTTTCATATTTTTACTTTCAAACCTTATTGTTTAAGTTTCGGATGTGGTTCTATCATTGTTTGAGCATTATTTATAAAGGGGGCAAGATGCATTTTTCGGTCACTCTCATGAACAAGAGTATATTTGGCACCTTCCTCACCGAGAAATACCAAGAGGGATGCATATTTTGCACCGCTCATGAACAAGGATCTACAGAACTCACTAGTTTCGGGCCTGAGCCATCAAAGTAGTGAAGAAGCCCTGAAATAAAATCAAACAACCCAAGCGTAGACACCGCCTCGTTGTTCAAGCTTAACAAACCTAACCTCGTTGCTCCAAAAGAGCGACATGATTCGACGTCACCGCAGAGGACAACATGCGGTAGGAAATTGTATCTTAGGGAATGACAGTAAGAACATCACCATCTCCCCCACCAAAATGACGGAACGCACGGCCCAACTCCACACCTTATGTATACGCCGAGGTGAAGATCCGGGGTATCCCACCCTCCTACTGTCAAGGGGGAGGGAATCCACATATTTGAAGGA